ATTTTTCCATAATAGAATAATAAATTTGGGTAAAACTTAAGTCAATTTAATTTAAGTTGGACTTGTACTGAAAATTAAAATAATAAAAATCATATTTTTTGATGTTGAGCTAAATGAATTAGTTAACAAATATATTTTAAAAAATAAAATAATTTGACTTATTTAAAATAAATAAATTGTAAAAATTATGGAGATTGGATTCTTATTCAATTCTTGATCTAAAATTGAGAAGTAAGAACCGAACTTAACCTGTCGATTCTTGATTTAGATATCCGTTTTAGTATTTAACTTTAAAAAAAAATCCCTCAATTCGGTTCAATTGGATTCAAGTAGGGGCAGGTCGAGAATTTTGTCAAATCCTAATAAATGGTATGAAATTTATATATTATACTCAAGGCCAATTTAGGTTTTAACAATTTATAAATAATCACTATTTAGCATTAAATGCAGTCAAGGATAAATATAATACTCAAAATTTTAAAAAGTAGATTTTGGAAATATTACTATAACTTTAAAAAATGCCTCCGATATTCACAAAAGTAGACCTACGATGTCATCTCAAAAAAATTTCTCTCATTTTTTTCGTTGACAATGCTATCATTCACATTTAGGTAGGGGCATCAATCGAATTGGCTCGTAAAAAGACGCTTCGCGGACGACTTGGGCTCATATTTGTACGAGCTTGAGCACTAATGCGGGCTTGCTCGCTAGGCGAGCCGACCAACAAGGGCCCACGAACCGTTCGCCCTTGGATGAGCCGAGCTGGCCTCCTTGCTAAGCAAGTCGAACCCACTCGGCTCACCCACAGCTGCCCACTAGCCTAAATTTAATAGAGAGCTTGTGGGCTTGTAAAAAAATGAAAACAAAAGAGTCAAAAAAAATTTAAACAAATAAAAAAAAAATTCTTGAGCTCATGGACTCAGCTCGGCTCAGCTCATGAGCTCACAAGCTCGGCCCTTGAGCACAAGGCTTGAACGAGCTTGAGCTCGGCTCCGATTCGATCCATTTCCATCCCTACATTTAGGTTGTGACTTAACATGGTCAATTTGCTTATTATGGATCAAATATTCCTAATAAGGTTTCGTGTCCTTTTTTCACTATTTAACGGGGCATAACTTACATATAGCAAATAAGATAAAGACGGGAGAAGAGTGTCCACCTTAATTCTTAGAGCTTGATGGAAAGTGATTATATAAAATCTTGAAGACTGTGTATTTAGAAAGTAAGAATAAATTAGGAAAATGTGATTTTTATTTATTTAATTATTAATTTTTTTTAAAAAATGTGTAGTTAAAAATGAGCTGTGATTTCATTAATCACTTTTAAACAAGGATAAGTAAGAAGTATTTCCACGTGACATTATTTATAAGACCAAATTCATTTGCTGGATAAAGATATTTGTACTCACACATTTGTATAAAATGTTTACTCACTCTCACATACAATTGAAAGATTGAAACAAACAAATATCAAATAAAACAAAATATTGTAAGATTGAAACAACCTAATGAAAGGACACTGCCTAAATTGAAAAATCAAGAATTAAGAACCTTTAGTAGAATCATCCCCAGGTAGATCATCTTCATCGTGGTAGATATTCTCAGCCATCTGCCAAATTTGTAATAAGTTATCCTCAGCTACACTAGCAACAACCCAGTCTTGACAGGGGTTCCATGAAAAGTCTGAAATTTTACTAGTGTGACCACCATGAATAAATAACAACTCTGGGGGGCCATCTTCAGCATCCTCCGGTGTCTGTTCTTCATCGATCCTAGTAAGTAAGAAAAGTGAAAATTTAGTTATAGGTTGAACAATTTTCATCGGCAGATCTCTCTAATTAAAGAACTATACCAGTGCCTCAAACCAGATGGAATTGTCATAAATTGCATGTGTAAAACGCAGGATAAATAAACTTGCAAGCGTTATGGAAATTCATCAAGCTTGCCGGAGATCAATCCACAAGTTTCATAATTAGATAAAAAGACCAAAAAAGAAGAAAAAGATTTATAAGACAATATGTTAAGTAACATGTAAAAAGATAGAGAGAGAATCCATGAGAACTGGAGAGTAGAAATGGAGTGAACAGGTAGCAAACTGGGGTGACTGCGAGGAAGAAAAATGGCAACTTTATTTTTCATTATCCAGATTAGATTGCTTGTGAAATGCCACTTAGAGGTCAAAATGAGAAGAAGTGAAGTTCTAGGAAAAATTAACCTGAAGAAAGAATCCTCAACAAGAAGTCAAAACTAGAAACATCACAGTTCCAAAATACTTGACATTAGAATCTTTCACACACTATCTCATAACAAATTAGGTTTCTTATTACATTCAAATTACCTGCTAAGATCCCACACCATGATCCTCCTACCGAGACAGCAAGAAGCTAAGATGGTCTCATTCTTTGGATTCCATCCAACCTGGAAAACCTCTTCCCTGTATTGCAGTGATAGTAGTATAAAGTTAACAAAAATATTGATTGACCAATTCATGCCCACGTTCTTATAAAGTAGATTATGTGATTACACGAGATTGTCAATGGACCAATTGACAATTAGTAAAATGATTGAAAAGCCAAAAGCAAGAAATGTCTCTTACTTGTGACCATCAAAGGTGTGGAGTGCAGTAGAAATCTTTCGAAGATCAAATAATTTAACAGTCTTGTCAGTGGAGCCAGTTGCGACAACCCACTCATTAAAGGGATTGAAAGCTAAACAGTTTACCTACCAAAAGTCACAGAGAAAAAGCAAGTTACTGAAAGTATACAAATGCCAGAACACATGCGCCGGAAAAGATAATTATGTAAAAGGACCATGTGTCCGATATCAAAACTATCATAGTCTCTAAAATGGACGGTCAAATCCAATATGGACAAAAACTATTCTCCTTTTCCACAGAGACAGGGATGTTTAAGGGAAACAGTAAACTCATTAGACGTGCTGAAAACAAGTACATTAAGAGAAGTACCTTGGCTGACAAAATCATTTATTCTATGTTCAACGTAGTGTCAAGAACGGGTTATAATATCAATTCATGAATAGAGATAAATATGGTAGTACTACGTGAAGTGCCTTCAGGAATGATCATGAAGGTCAGGACAAACACTTATCAAACCCAGCCAACACAGTTTCTAATTTAATATCATGTCTTCACCAGCCTTCTTTAGTGAAAGTAGTATGCTTGTGCTCTGCAGATCTAAGCAATACGTGATAGGGACAATAGAAAAAAAGATGACTACTGAAAACAGAAGTCTGACCACGTGAAAGTTATCTAAAAGTTGGGAAGACTTGACATGAACTAGCGGATGTCTCTGGCAGTGGCACTTCTATTAGTACTCAGATGACCATTTATCTGCCGCCACTGAGAAACAAAACAAAAATCATTCTTCTACTGTTTGTATACGCTAATTAAAATTACAAAGCAGTAAACGAAAAGTTGCAACAGAGCATCTGATTGTCTGGAGTTAATATCCTACCTCAAACAGAAAGAGACTACATGGTGGCAAGTACATTCTCCTTCTATATGGACTTGAAGACATTTTAATTCATTTCATACATGCTTAAAAAGTGAGCATCGGATTCTGAATATTATGTATCTTGACTACCAATGCGATAAATGTTGGTGCCCATATGCTTTTAACAGATAAATACAAATAAGAAGTATTAATAACGTCTGATAAGATCACGTTGTCATTATGACTTTATGTAGTACTCATAGGAATAATTCCAATGTGTTTATCCTTCAAGTGAAAAGGAAAATAATGACACCCACCTCACTTTGATGACCAACTACAGATTGAATAGGCCTGCTGACTAATGGAGAACGGAGATCCCATATATGCAGATACTGATCATCCCCAACTGAACCAAACAAGTACTCGTGCCTGAGATGCCATGCTACGTCTTCGACAACTCCTTCATGAACCTATCTTAGCATGAATTAGATCGTTATCAACAAAACCACACATGTCAACATTATGAACTTGGGAATAATATAACAGATGTATAAATTTCTCACACAGCGCAAATCAGAGTAAGAATATTGCACTTATGAGCAAGATTTTTATTTACATCACACCTTAAATATCTGCATTGCATCTAGAGCCTTATTTTTGGGAGTTGCATTGATGTCCCACAAACATATTTGGGCATCATCAGAACCACTCAATAAATGACCATGCCTGAATTGACTCCAGGACAAACCATAACCTTCACTATTGTGTCCCCTCAGCCTCAAATCAGGGTTACATGCACTGTCTACAGGGGGCTTAGATGGATGTTTGCTATAATCAAATACATAGACTTCTGAACTAACTGTTTTAGTGGCAATAACAAATGGGTTTTGGGGCATATATCGAGCCCGGTTGACCTCTCCATCGTGATTAATTTGTTGGATAATTTGCATCTGCAGGAAAAATATACTCATTACGTAATTGTAAACGACTTCGTGGCCAATGCACTATAAACCTGAAAGAACTCATTTACATGTATAGATATCAAAGAATCAATATTTACACAGATGATGGAGTGAATTTGAAAAAGAACAACAAATAAAGCATATATTAGATCAAAACTATAATCAGGTCATTCTGGTTGGGAGAGATTCTGGCAAAGTTTGAGTTTTTTTAATTTTTTTTGCTTGTATTTACTTATCAACCGGATTGCAGAACGTCAAAGTTAAGTATCTAAAACAAGTCCCAATTGCATACACATGACTGAATTCCAAAACTTAAGGAGGCAACCAAGCTACAGACAATAACATACCAATTGTTATTTGAAGAAACACTTTAAGCTGATCCAAATCCAAAACATCAAATTTTAGGATGCAAGCTTGAAACAGTACCATCTCCACAAAATTCTCAGGAATGGGGAAATTTTCAAAATTTATCGGTTTTTGGTGCAATCACCAGTTCAATAGTTTTTTTTTTTTTTTTTTTTTTTTTTTTTTTGTTGTTTTTTTTTTTGTTTTTGTTTTTGTTTTTTTCCCCACAACCAAAGATTCTTCCTTTTATTATTTTTATTATTATTATTATTATTATTTGCTTTGACGTGTAAAAACAAAATGTCATCTTTGGCAGCATAAGCTTGAAGCCTTGGTATTAGACTTCAAGAAACACAATTCAAATTTGAACGAAATGAATCATTTCTACCACAAATTTAGAGGCCCCAATCCCATAGTACCAAATAACCAATGCTAAACCTAACAAAAATTTCCCGATCTCAAACCCAATTAGTAATATCAATGGAATTTTTTTCCTTGACCATAAATATCAATAGAACGGAATGCTAAAAAAATTCCCAGCCAAAAAGATAATAAGATTTCACATATAAAAACCACCTTGCCGTCGGCGCAGCCAAATCCCCCAAATTTTGAGTGGTCATCCTCGTAATGTCTAGCGTCGTTCTCAGCATCCTCGAAAGGAAGCTGAACCTGAGCCAGCATGAGATAATTGGGTTCGTCCTCAGAAGTATGAGTCCCGAGAATCATCTTCTGTACCGAGTAATCCTTTCCCGGCGGCTCCTCCCGGTCCGGCAGCCACTCTACTGTAAGAGACGGCCATTCAAGAGCTTGAGTAATTACCAGATCGTAAAGAAATGGAGTATTCTTCTTCCAAATTTTGTACTCCTCGTTAACCAGCCGCTCCTCTATTTCCCCCCTCATCTCATCCTCATCTTTCCCCATTTCTTAATCTTCTCTTCAAGAATTCTTCTCCTCAGAAGCTGATAGCAGCGATTATTTTCAGGCTTAGAATTTTCTATCAATGGAATGAATTTTCACTTTCATTTCCTTTTTCTTGTTGGGAAGATTTAGAATCGGAGGAAATTCAGTCGATATATGGCACCACTGACTTCTGAGTTTATATCAACGGTTTTAATATCGGGATGGGTCGAAATTTGGGTTGACAACTGCCAAGCGTAACATAAGTGAAGCCCAAAATCAGTCCATGCAACGCGGGCAATTTGAGAAAATGGGAAATTTTCATAAGCAAGGGATTAAGTATGACATATTTGAAAATTAAGAAAATAAATTTTAAATTTTAAAAATCAGATTTTTATTAAATTTATTTATGATTTAATTAATTATTTTATTAATTAAATATATTTAGATCATATGTTTATATAATTTGGTTACAAATTAACAATTTAATTAGTCACTTATTAATTTTTTTTTTATCACAAATCAGAAATTTTATGTCACAAATTATTTTACGATCACAATTCAAAAATTTTGTAGATTGCAGTTTGTTCATCGGTCACAAATAAAAAATTAATTAGTCACAGATTAATTTTTAATCACAACTTATTAAATTATTGGTCACAACTTATTTTTCGATCACAATCAAAATTTTAATAGGTCACATATTATTTTTCAATCACGAATAAAAAAATTTGTAAGTCACAAGTTACAAATATTTTAGGTCGCAACTTATTAGACAGTTACAAATTATTAATTTTTTAGGCCACACATTATTTATTGATCACAATTTATTTTTTTCATTGGTCACAAATTAACCAATTCACTGGTCACAATTAACCAAATAATCTGCAACCATCACCAATACTTACGAACACTACTTTAACGCTGCCTCCAACAACAGTACCACCACCATCGACATCGCCAAAACCACCACCACATTGATCATAAATTAACCAACTTATTGGTTATAATAAATTATTTTCGGTCACAAATAAAAAATTTTACTTGCCGCATATTACTTTTGCTCCTCAATTAACCAATTTATTGGTTACAACATCAAAATAATTATTACACCGTCCCAACTCCGCCCGTCACCACTGCCACAACCTACAATGCATTGCCATCACCACCACTTACACCACAAACCAATCGGTACCACAAACACTATCTCCACCTGATTGCACTACCATCACTGCCAACTATACCTCAATACACAACCACTAGATAACCCATCCCACCACCGCCACCTCCATGTCACAGCCCTGGTGAAATGAGATTGAAATAATCGAATACCAAATCTACAGGTTGTTCTCGATTCGTCGATCCCTAAAAGGATCTCTTCCGTGACCCAACCATCCACGCACCTGCACCACCACCACAAACACCTCACACCCTCCAAAACTCCAAGTAAGCAGGTTGGAGGAAGAACCCATCCAAAAACATACATATCGCCACAGCACCCACTTCTACCACTGCCACTTGCATCACCACTAGCATCATCACACATACATCACACAGATCACCACCACCGCCGCACATCACAAAAACCCAATTAAGCAGATTGAAGGAAGGAGCCAACCCAAAAGTCCGAACATCGCTGCTACACCCCCACCATCTACCCACCTGCACCACCACCGCAAACACCTCACACCCCCAAAACTCTGACTAAGCAGGTTGGAGGAAGAACCAACCAAAAAAAAAAAAAACCACCATTCGCATCATCGCACACACTACACAGATTGCCACCAAATAGATCCGCAAATACAAATCATTGTTGCACACACCACTGCAGACCAATCACTATAGATCGAAGCACCATCGCATGTTGGAGGAGGACATTAAATGGGAGATTGATGTTTCAAATGGGGTTCGATGGCGTCACTGCAAATAAGGTGGTCTCCAATAGCGACAGCGGGTATGAGTGATAGGGGAAGAGAGAGAGTGGAGCACAGAAAGAATGGTTTTGGGGTTTGGATAGTTAGGGTATGAATAT